AATGGTTAAGGATGCGAGAACACACTATTTTTCTGAACTCATTACTACACATAAACACAATCCCAGGTTTCTGTTTAAGACTGTGGATCAGCTGGTAAACCCAACCCCTCCTTGTGCCTCAGCTGGAAGTAATGATGACTGTGAATTGTTTTTATCTTATTTTACCAATAAGGTGGTGTCAATCAGAGCCTCTATTACCCCCGTGGCCTCTTACTCAGAGGTTCCTCACCAGCAACAACAGAGTTTTAACCAGTTTTATCCCATCGACTTGTCTGAGCTTTTAAAAACAATATCACAAATGAGAGTGTCCTCCAGCCCACTTGATATAATACCTACAAAATTTTTACTAAAAGTATATATTCTGTTGGGCCCCATTTGATCTCTGTTTTCAACAGCTCCCTATCTACTGGTTGTGTCCCTGATTATTTTAAAACGGCTTGCGTGAACCCACTTTTAAAGAAACCTGGTTTAGATCCCTCCCTCCCACAAAATTTTAGACCAATTTCAAAACTGCCTTTTATTGCAAAGATTCTAGAAAGAATTGTGTCCAAACAGCTGCTCACTGTACTGGAAAATAACAAAATATTTGAAAAGTTTCAGTCTGGTTTTAGGAAGTACCACAGCACTGAGACTGCCCTGCTTAAAGTCACCAATGACCTTTTAATGTCTGCTGATGAAGGTATGTGCTCAGTCCTGGTATCCTGGACCTTAGCGCTGCTTTTGACACCATTGATCACAACATCATGTTAGACAGACTGAGGCACTGGGTGGGGATCTCTGGTACGGCCCTAGAATGGTTTTCATCCTACCTGTCAAATAGGAAGTTTTGTGTGTCTGTAAACAACTATGTCTCTTCATTCTGTCCAGTTAAATATGGTGTGCCTCAGGGGTCGGTCTTAGGACCCATTTTGTTTTCCTTGTATCTGCTTCCCCTTGGACATATTATCCATAAACATGGCATTTCTTTTCATATTTATGCTGATGACACACAAATATACTTGCCCGTCAGATCCACAGACCCTGGAATGCTGAGTTCACTTAACAACTGCCTTTGTGAAGTTAAAAAATGGATGTCAAATAATTTCCTCCAGCTGAACTCAGACAAAACAGAAATCCTGGTCATCGGGTCCCAGCAGATGGCAAATCAAATACTGCCATCTGCTGGTTCCCTAGTAAATCACATTAAGCCTGTGGCAAAGAACCTTGGTGTTTGGTTTGATAGTAATTTAAATTTCGAGCAGCACACCACAAAGCTTGTTCAATCATGTTTTTATCAACTTAGAAATATAGCTAAAATTCGATCTATGTTAACTTTTAAGGACACCGAGACCATTTTACACGCCTTCATCTCATCACGCCTGGATTATTGCAACAGCCTTTTCACCTGTTTAACCCAAAAATCTATTGATCGACTCCAGACTGTCCAGAACTCAGCTGCCAGGCTTTTAACCAGAACAAAGAAATATGACCACATTACTCCTATTTTAGCTTCATTACACTGGCTCCCAGTATATTTTAGAATTGACTTTAAAATTCTATTGATCACTTTTAAAGCTCTTCATGGCCTCTCGCCTTGTTATATTTCTGACCTTTTAGTCCCATACGCACCAGCACGTACCTTGAGATCCTCGGGCAGAGGTCTGTTGTCTGTTCCAGAGTCTCGACTGAAAACTAAAGGGGACAGAGCGTTTGCTGTCAGGGCCCCGAGGCTCTGGAACAGCCTGCCCGAGGAAATCAGGTCGGCTGAGTCAGTGAACTCTTTTAAGTCCCTTCTTAAAACATACTTTTATAGGAGAGCTTTTCCCGATCTTATTTGACTTTATTTTATCCCTTTTATTTTATTGTATTTTACTAATTTTATATTAAATTTTCATGCTCTTTGTATTATTCTTTACACTTGTTAAAGCACTTTGTAACTTGTTTTTGAAAAGTGCTCTACAAATAAGGATTATTATTATTATTATTATTACTAACCTGTAGACCACCACTAACCTGTACCCCACTACTAACCTGTAGACCACTTCTGACCTGTAGACCACTACAGACCCATAGACCATTACTAACCTGTAGACCACCACTGACCTGTACCCCACTACTAACCTGTAGACCACTACAGACCCATAGACCATTACTAACCTGTAGACCACCACTGACCTGTAGACCACCACTGACCTGTACCCCACCACTGACCTGTAGACCACTTCTGACCTGTAGACCACCACTGACCTGTAGACCACTACAGACCCATAGACCATTACTAACCTGTAGACCACCACTGACCTGTACCCCACTACTAACCTGTAGACCACCACTGACCTGTACCCCACCACTGACCTGTAGACCACCACTGACCTGTACCCCACTACTAACCTGTAGACCACCACTGACCTGTACCCCACCACTGACCTGTAGACCACCACTGACCTGTAGACCACCACTGACCTGTACCCCACCACTGACCTGTAGACCACCACTGACCTGTAGACCACTACAGACCCATAGACCACTTCTGACCTGTAGACCACCACTGACCTGTAGACCACTACAGACCCATAGACCACTTCTGACCTGTAGACCACCACTGACCTGTACCCCATTACTAACCTGTAGACCACTACTGACCTGTAGACCACCACTAACCTGTAGACCACCACTGACCTGTACCCCACTACTAACCTGTAGACCACCACTGACCTGTAGACCACTTCTGACCGGTAGACCACCACTGACCTGTAGACCACTACAGACCCATAGACCACTTCTGACCTGTAGACACCACTGACCTGTACCCCACTACAGACCCATAGACCATTACTAACCTGTAGACCACCACTGACCTGTACCCCACTACTAACCTGTAGACCACTACTGACCTGTAGACCACCACTGACCTGTAGACCACTACAGACCCATAGACCATTACTAACCTGTAGACCACCACTGACCTGTACCCCACTACTAACCTGTAGACCACCACTGACCTGTACCCCACCACTGACCTGTAGACCACCACTGACCTGTAGACCACTACAGACCCATAGACCACTTCTGACCTGTAGACCACCACTGACCTGTACCCCACTACTAACCTGTAGACCACTACTGACCTGTAGACCACCACTGACCTGTAGACCACCACTGACCTGTAGACCACTACAGACCCATAGACCACTTCTGACCTGTAGACCACCACTGACCTGTACCCCACTACAGACCCATAGACCACTTCTGACCTGTAGACCACCACTGACCTGTACCCCACTACTAACCTGTAGACCACCACTAACCTGTAGACCACTACAGACCTGTAGACCACTACAGACCTGTATCCCTGCCAATGTCCGGCTTCTCTCTCTCCAAAAATATCATATACATGTGTCTGGTCTGTAAATGAAGGATATACAACAGCATTAACACTATGACATTTAGTTTTCACTGACAACAACATGCTGATATTGATTAGAAATAGGCGACTTTATAGAGGTTATATTAATGGCGTTCACATTACCAACACTAGTGTTTTCCAAAGCCCAATAAATATCCTCTTTCCTTTATCTCAAGTAAACGTTGCTTGAGTTCAGCAAGTACCCGTCACTAACAACAACTTACAGTTTCACTCTGTATCACTCACTTCGCTGAATCAATTCTTCCTTCACCATTTCTGTGTGTCACTGTGTGTGTGTAGCATAGACTGGTGTGTAGTAATGTTGTTCGGCAGCTCGGATAAAGCGATAAAATGCAGCCTCCCTCAGGGTCCTGGTGCCCGACCAGAGCAGGGATTTAAATTGTGAAGCAGAGGAAACAACCAGAACGATTATTTTAAGCCAGTAAATACAAATTGTATTTGTATTATTCTGTCTATTATTCTGTGTTTATCAATATTCTTGCTTCTTTTTGTGGAGTACATGTCTGCACTTAAAAGAAAAAATCTAAATCTAATAATTATTTTTCTTATCATTATTTGGGGGGGGCCTAGGACCATGGTAGGGTAGCTTCAGCCCCCCTAAAACAGGCCTAAAGACGTCCATGCTGCTAAGGGTTCTGCAGCGCAGCCACAGCACACCCCAACGCTCATCAGGGGGCGAGGGCCTATCTGAAGCTGCTTGCAGCTTTAATATTCCACTATAATAGTCACCTGATACCTGTTTTGTGTTTTCCTTCACATAAAAAGACATTTAGGAGCCTAAATTCAGTTTAGTGATAAATAATTTAAATTTATGTGTGAATAGTAATTTACATGATTAATTTATGCAGAAGGAATATTTACAGTATTTACAAGTTGATGCAGTTAATATTTACAGTAGCGCAAGGAGTTAATTGTTTGATTACTAGCCCTTAAAATGTGTGTGGATTATTTAGAGTGCATTTGTATTACATTGGTAATATTTGGGGAATGGAGGACTGTCATCGTCTTTTCCCTTTAACTGCATGCACCTTCAGTGGCCACTTGCGAGAACGTTGGGACGTTACCTTAGTAGACAGTCAGGCAAGCAGAGCGTGGAGCCACACAGTTTTTTGACCTCTCTCACCAGAAATGCAGGATTTAAAGTATATATGAATTTCCTGGGGGTGACACCAAGACTTGATATGTTGAAATGGAATCTACACCCTTGCTCTCTTCATGGTAAAACACATGTGTAACTTATGCAACTTACACAACCTACGCAACACTTTTTGCTTCACACGAGAAACAAACACTGGTTTCCTACATGAAAGTCCAGTTTCTGGCTCTTCCGTCCACCCAACCGTCTCCTTACTCGGACTTCACTGTTTTGAATTATACACCTACCTTTAGCGTTCAAAAACTACAGGGCTTTCCCCAGTGCGCTCAACTATGACGCAAAGGTGCCCAGTGCATAACAAACTGATACCAAGTCTCCAAATGTGACGACTTGGCCTGGTCCCATCCCTGAATCTGTGTATGTAAACCAACTAAAGCCTTCATTTATTGTTTCCTAACTTACAAAATAAAGATGTTGTTTGTACCTGATGTGTTGCAGATGCTGAGGTGTCCTGTGTTTTTATGGAGAGCTGCATCTTACCGTGCAGCTTTCAGAGCAGCACTGATGTTGTCATCTTCTGGATTCATGTGACAGCAGGAGACACTCTTGTCCACTCCTACTACCACAACCAAGACCAGCTGGGACGCCAGGACCAGCGCTTCAGAGGCAGGACATCACTGTTCAAGGACCAGATCTCCGGAGGAAACGCCTCGCTCCAGCTGACTGGGGTCCAGGTTCAGGACCAGGGGAGATACAAGTGCTACACCAGCACCATCGCTGCCAACAAGGAGTCATTTATCAACCTACAAGTGGACGGTACGAGAAACACACAGTATATACACAAAACCATCAACTTGTGTTTTCTTTATGTTCAGTACATTTCTAAATTTAGCATATGTGCCGTCAAATTGAAAGTGAGTTCATCCGTATCACATCAGGATCTCTGTTTTTGCAGCTCCGGTCCATAAAGTCGACATGGAGCAGGAAGAAAACAGGATCACCTGCAGCTCAGAGGGGATCTACCCTGAGCCTGAACTCACCTGGTCCACCAGCCCTCCGTCCAACGTGGCCTTCAAGAACACAACCAGCAGAGTCCAGCAGACTGAACAGCTGCTCTACAACATCAACAGCTCTCTGATACTTTCAGACAGGGTTACTGATCTGGTCTACAGCTGCACCGTCAGCACTCGCAGCAACAGGAGGAGAGCCACTTTGAGGGAACTGAGTGAGTATTACGTCTAATCTGTCAACTAAACCAATAAACCAGGTTGGTGTCTGCACTGATTTAAAAGATTCCTGCAACTACACAACAACAAACTACTGCTAAAACCATTTTTACCTTTTCACTAGTGGTTTGGATACTGCAAACTAATTTAGTAAACAAATACATCAAACCCTTTATTATCTGACAGTGTCTCAATGTGTGTTTCTATATTATTTGATTCACAAGTGTTTGGATCTGTTTATTCATTTATTGTTTTATTTTATATGAAGAACAGAGCCCTGAGGTACTACATCAGAACATCCTGATGTAATACTTTTATAGGAAACCACTAGAGAACCAGACCGAAGCCGTCATATTCATTTTATCACTCTGTCTAGCTGTATACAATCATCTGTGTTATCAAAAGCTGCACTGAGATCCAGTAACAGAGGAAACTGAGCAGAAATCAGAAGCCATAGTGAGCAGAAAATCATTCAGCACATTAGTGAGTGCAGTTTCAGTGGAACAAAAGGTCCTGAAAGAGTTGCTGAGGCACAACATGTTCTAATACTTCTGAAACAACTGGAACGTAAGAGGATGGTCGATAATTATTCAAGGTGTGTCTCTTTAAGTTTAACCACATGGTGCCTGACGTAAGTGAGAAATTAAAGATATTCAGTATTCAGATGGCCTCTAGAGTACCATAAAGAGTCTGAGTGATCAATGTGAGGAAACCTTGTGGATTCATATGTTTGTACAAATGAACACGTTTCTGCTCTGTGAGATAGAAAAGTGAACAAAGTCTAAAACTCTCCAGAAGTTCCTGAAACAGACACTGAAGGTGTGATTCCCACCTGATAATATGAACATATTAGCATTATTAACAGACTGCAACCTCACATGTTGATGCTACAGGAATTATCAGTCAGTCCACTCGTGGAAGTTTGGTTAGTAGAAAGTTCAATAAACTTTAGTTTCAATAATCTTTTTCTGTTTCAGGGAGTCAAACTGGTGACACAGGTGTTAATGAAGGTGTGGTGGTTGGAGCCATTTTGGTTGTAGTTCTGGCAGCAGGCCTTTTGTAAAAAAATGTAAAAAGGTAAGAAAACACATTCTGCCTTCACCTGATGATGATGATGATGATGATGATGTGTTTTGAACAGAGAAACCAGACACAGAGCAATGAAACTTTGTCGGGGTAAGTATATCATCTGTACTGAATACAGATGAGTTGTTTCACAATGAGTTCACATTTAAATCATTTTGCACTGCAGGACAAGCTGCAAACATTTCAGTGAATGAACTGCTGTCTCTATGGAAGACCGATCCTGACACAGGCAGAAATAAATAAATGCTCAATAAATAAATAAGCATCCAATTAAATACACAAAAAAATAAAGTAAATAAATAAATGTAGGTAGTAATTAAATTATACAAGGAGACATAAATGTATATATTTTAATTACTGCCTTTACTTATTCACCTTTCTTATAATTACCTTATTTATTTATTCTCCATTATAATCTTCAACTTTATTTATTAATTACAATTTTTTTTATGTATTTATTTGTGTGTGTTTTAATATTTTTGTCTGTTTTATTCTCCCTTTGTATTTTTTTACCTTATTTATTTTCACCCATGGTATTTATTTCTGCCTGTCCTTTTTACATTTCTGTATGCATTTCTGCCTCATTATGCAAATGAGGAGGGGCTGTGTCTCAAGGGGTGAACTTCTTTCCTATTGGTGGATCAATCAGAGCTCTAGGCCTACTCTGCCTGCAGACAGAAACGAGCTGCTCTTCACACAGTCAGATGGCTTCCTTCAGTGCGCTGAGGTGTTTAACAACTCTGAAGACACTACCAGCAATGTCTTCCTTCTCTTTTCACGTAGACGCTCCGACAGACAGTGCTTTCAGTTTGCTGCATGCATGGACACAGAACTGCGGTATAGGGAGAAGCACACGGTCAGCTGGCTGCAGCTAAATCTGGAGTGCACTCGTATTCAATTCTGTATGGTAAATTCAGTTTTAACGGAGCAGAGCGAGCTGACAGGCAGAGTTAGAAACTTTTTCTGTTCGTTTCTCTTTACAAAGACGCATGTTGCATTCAGAGTCTCCTCCTTCTTCTTTTCCTCTGAAGAATATGGTTATGTTCTCCGCATGCCTCCTCCTGTGTTTTCTGTGTGAGACAGAAGTACAGTAACTAACGTTAGCCTTCATTAAATCATTTCGACTGGTTAAATGCAGTAAAGTTAACTTTAAATTGACTTCACCACCACACAAAACACGGCTTAATAGCAATCACATTTAACAGAAGCATAAAATTCTTCTTAATGGTAACTGTTAAGATTAGTTTATTTGTTACCACCACTAGCTCAAGAGCTTTAGCCTATATGATATTAGCACTACATAAATTAGCCTAGCGGCTAACGGACTTTTACTCTCCTAATAGCTTAACAGATTACATGTATTATTCATAATACTCACCGCTGCGCTGGTGAAGTCACTGCATCTCCCGACACAACACCACGGTTGAATTTTCACCCTGAATGGTGTTTTTGTTGAAACAGCAGCTGATAACAGCAGAGCAACGAGCTGCTCCGTGTGGGAGCATTTACCGTAAATACTCGAATAGGAGTGCACTCCAGATTTAGCTGCGGCTAACTGATGTGGCTCTCAGAAACAACAGCTCACTTTCCTGCAGTTCTGTGTACGTATAAGTCGCTAATTGAAAACTACATGAAAAGAGAAGGAAGACATGGCTGGTAGTATCTTCAAACAGTGTAGCTAAACACCTCAGCGCACTGAAGGAAGCCATCTGACTGTGTGAGGGGCAAGATCGTTGATGTCTGCAGGCAGAGTAGGCCTAGAGCTCTGATTGATCCACCAATGGGAGAGAAGATGACCCCTTGAGACACAGCCCCTCCTCATTTGCATAATGAGGCAGAAATGCATACAGAAATTTAAAAAGGACAGGCAGAAATAAATACCATGGGTGAAAATAAATAAGGTAAAAAAATACAAAGGAAGAATAAAACAGACAAAAATATTAAAACACACACATAAATAAATACATTAAAAAAATTTGTAATTAATAAATAAAGTTGAAGATTATAACGGAGAATAAATAAATAAGGTAATTATAACAAAGGTGAATAAGTAAAGGCACTAATTAAAATATATACATTTATGTCTCCTTGTATAATTTAATTACTACCTACATTTCTTTAATTTCTTTATTTTTTTGTTTATTTAATTAGATACTTATTTATTTATTGAGCATTTATTTATTTCTGTATTTATTTCTGACTGTGTCAGGATCGGTCCTCCATGTCTCGGGTAAAATGTCGACCTAAATAAGACATAAGCAGAGTGTAACATCATGCACAACTAGTAGAAAAAGATCAGTTCAGTAGTCAGAAAATAAACAGAGAATCTGACCAAATCAAATGAAGGCTTGGTGTTTGCTGGATGAATTTATTTTGTTCTTTATTCTGAAGATGCATAAATGAAACGACTACTTTATTGAACGCAGATTACATCTTATTTGCTAAATCTTGAAATGATAATTATAATAATTTTATGATAGTGTCTTTGGTTCTGGTTCAGTATTGTGTGGGTCTGTTTTGAGTGGTCATGACGGTCTGCTGTTGTGTCTGACTATCTGGCAGTTTTGACCTCTGACTACAAAAGTTGTCATGTGGTATGGAGCACCATGAACTGATGTCATGAATTTGATTTACCATCATCTACAGGCTGCATACATTAGTTAAATAAGCGAGGAAACTGTGAGCTTTGTATTAAAAGCCTGCGCTCTACTGGGTTTTCTTTTTGACCTGAAAAAAAAAAAGGTTGACTCCCCCTCCCAGTTGTCTCTGTATAATTCACAGTCTGCCCCTGAGTTACTACAAGAAGCAACAGCTGTTACGTCCTCATGTGGCTCAGGCCCAGAGGTAAAGAGAGGAGTAACAAATATAAAAACCGGGCCACAAGAAACAGGAAACAGATTATATGCAAACAAATAAGATATTTATTAACAAACAAACCTGAAACAGGAACAAAAGAGACACAGAAACACAAAGAACTATTTCACTAAAAGGGAAGATAAATGGTTTTAACTAAAAACACTAACACACTTAACATCCTCGCTCTTCCATGGGAGTGTACGAGCCCACAGCACCACCAGTCCCAAGCTCACTTTTATTTTATTCTGAAATCAATCAGCTGTTTATAACTTTGAGCACTAGACTGCTTGTGATGAGCTCACCTGCCAAATACAATTTCAATCTGTTGGTGAGGAGTTAGTTTCTGCCTGTTAGTCTGCAGAAGATGAACCGGACAGGGATCAGAGTCCCAAAGCTGCACGGGGGACAGAGGGACAGAGGGACAGAGGACAGAGGACAGGCGTCCCTTAATGTGGTGCAGCAACCTTCATGTTTAAAATGTTCAGAAACAGTTTGACTTGTATACAGAAATTGTACGTTGTTGTTCATTGTTGCTTTTTATATACTATATATTTTTTTACACCTCTGTTTTTTTTTACCATTTGTAAACATAACTGTTCTGTTTATATTTGTTTAAAATCTGTTCAGCTGGATGTCTGTAAAATGTTCTGTGTGTAACATCAAGAGCAACTTAAATTCCTTGTATTAGTTTGCACAGTTGTACCTAATAAAGTGGCCGCTGAGTGTAGCTGCTGATTAATTACTGTAAGTCAATACAAATACACTATAAGGCTGTGTGTTTGTTGAGATGTTTGAGGATAATTAAACATAAAAGTTTCTTCAGACTTTATGTGACTTTTGATATTTCACCTGTGAGGCTGGAGTCATGTTTTCAGAATCAGCTTCAGTGGCCAGATATGTGTTCACATACGAGGAATTTGACTCCGGTCTCATATTGTTCTCGATGTGCGTACACAGAAGAAGCATAAACAAAACAGCTCAACAAACAACAGAACACACACCATAAACTAAAACATTTGTACACAGAGAACCAATAGTGTAATGAGGTGAAAAAGGT